ATAGAATAGAATAGAATATATATTGGAATATAGAATAGAATAGAATAGAATAGAATATATATTGGAATATAGAATAGAATAGAACATATATTGGAATATAGAATAGAACATATATTGGAATATAGAATAGAACATATATTGGAATATAGAATAGAATAGAATAGAATAACTTTATCGTCACTTTAAATGCACACTAATCAGCATACATTAACATGAACTTTCCTTGCATTCGGCTCTCAAAGGCTAACCACCTCCAATGGACACATACAATATACATAGATCCGATAAAGATTCGCCCTTAGCATTGCAAAGTCCTCCCCTCGGCCTGGCAAAAGCAGCTGGGGAAACAGAGAAGGGTTAGGCTGGCAAAGTCTCTGTTAAGAGCCCTTGGCCTTTGCTTTCTGCCTGATGGCCAAAAAAAGAAAGAAAAGAGAAGACAGCGCCCATAAACGAGAATATTTTTGTAGCTCAGGGTTCAACTAGGCGCTTTTCTTGCAGACGTTTTGTGACCCAAACCTGGAGTAATAAGAGGAGGCAGTCTCAGAAGCGAAAAAGATGGCAGACCTGGGCTGGCAGGATTGGGTCCTCTTCAATCTCTGACTTTTAAGTTCAGAAAAAGAGGAAGAAATATCGCATGGTCTTTCTCCCCCTCCCCCCAGTTGCCTTCACATCTGCATCCTTTGGGCATCATTTGGGCAGCTGTGATGGAAGGCAGAATATGGAGGGGTGGTGAAGGAAGAGAATCTGGGCATCTCTCTTAAGCCAGAGAATATTTCAGACACCCAGCATTTTTGACCGTGTAATTTTCCTTTGTTGGTTCATCTTGAGCTGATGCCTTTTCTACGTCTACATTGCAGACTGTCTGGGTTTACAGGGTTGTGTGAAGCCATGCTTTGCTAAAACTCTGGTTAAACCACAGTGGCTTGAATTCACACCAGATGCCAAGCCAAGAGAGAACTTATTTTGCGGCTTTAGCTTCTTGGGGGGGAATCAGGTTGTATTTCAGATATTATGTATAAATTCACCCAACATATTATGAAGGTTCAGGGTGATTGGATTAATAAAAAGGTTTTTTTTTTCTTAAGGGTGACATGTTGTGGTCCTCCACAGATTGATAAACATCAGCTACCAGTGTTGTTTCCATTATTGGCCGTGTCTTTCAGAGATGCTAGAGATGTTTGTGTCTTTCAGACTGCCAAAATTCACATTTTGGTGGCAAATTAGATCCAGGCTGTAGTTAAATTTGTAGACGCTTTGTTATCCCCATCCTTTTTAAAAGACCTTTTAAATCTAAAATTTGCTTTGAACATTTCAACATTTCAATCTTGACTGTTTATTTACCAATTGAATTACTTTATAGCAGAATTTGCTGTTCGGAGTATTCTTTAATAGAAATCCAGTCCCTAAGGAGCGAATGGCTCTTCAGCCTTTTGAAATACCCATCATAAATTTTATTTATAGTTATTGAGCAGTCACGTGTAGTAGAGACAAAACACAACAAATACTGCACTAATTCAGTAGTTTCATTCTTTTTAAATCTATCCAAGAAACCAGATTCTGCCGAAACAGAAATGTCTCTGCTATAGTGAAGACATAAATATGCTGATGTTAAATTTCCCAGTTATGGGAAAAAAATTACAGCTATATTGTTGACTGTGTTAGTATATTTGGCAGAAGGACTGGATGAAAGTGTCAGACTATCCCAGACTGGAGAAAAGAGCTTAAGGAGCGAAAACTAACTTGGCAACTTGTTAAACCAAACTTAAATAGCTAAACAATCCCTAGAAAAGATGCAGCTGCTTTAAGAAGTTGCAGAGAGATGTCACTTGAATGTCGCCATGTCATCCATACCATCTTTTTGACTCCCAATCAGAAGCACATCACAATATGGTACCCGCAGGTAGAATCTCTGTCATAGCTTTAAAAGAGAATTTTAGCTTTGATTATTCAGGGTCTGTTTTTAACTGACCGACTCATTCCATCAATTGATGGCTTTCATTTTCAACTGCCATTTCACGATGGAACAGAATGTGAGTCTTGTCTTTGCCATCCCAGTACAGAATTGGTTGTTTCCTTTAGCTGTATTTTAAATATGTTCCTTTTTCATTTTAGCATCCTTGAGCATTCTACGCGGCTTTTTCTCCGAAAATAATGATTTGTTTCAATTGTGTCTCTTCTAAGAATTTACTTTTCAAATTGCAAAGATGTTCGGAGGTAAACCATTCTGAAAGATTAGAAGGATCTTTTCAGATCAAAAGCCTTCCATTAAATGAGCTACGAGTTGACTCCTCTTTTCCATAACCACAGATATGGCTCCCAAATTATGCAGAAAATCCTGCAGATGGCGGAAGGGATTGATGTGGGTAAGATGCCGTCGTTTGAGCTGGTGCCGGGCACGAAGACAGCCAAAAGACCACGATCTCCACGTGATGACTCTCCCCAAAGTGAGCACCTTCATTTCTTTTTAAACGTAGTTCCCTTCAGCCTGCCTGCCTCCTAATTTTTTTGGGAAGCAGAATAACAAGAGTTGTAAGGGACCTTGGAAGTATAATCGTAGGGTTTGTGCTGGCACAGCTGCATAGGTAATTCAGCTTGTCACGGTTACAATAGTATGTACCAGAAATCCCAAGAAGTGTGGTGATGTGTAGAAGAGGCAGAGGCTGGGGGCGGGGTCAAAAGAGGACTTACCCTAGAATCCTTACATGTCCACAAATGCTCCAAGTCCAGCCCCCCAGATTCTGTTAACTCTTATCTAGCACCAATTTAATGCTGGCTGTTAATTGACTAGATTCTTGTGCATAGGCATCAGCAATAAATCTAACTAACTCAGGAGAGGTGAATTCTAGTCCCATCTAAGGCATGAAAGCTGGCTGGGTGACTTTGGTCCATTCATCAGGAAGCAATAAATTCTAGCCCTACTTTAAGCATGACATTCATCTGAATAAATATTAGACAGAGGTGGGCATCCTTGTAAGTTCGCCATAAAAACATGGGACCTGAAGTCCTGAATATCTCCTTTTCATTTTGACTTGCCATTTCACATGAGTGAAGAGCTAATCAGTTTTTCCACCATTGCTGAAAATAATTTCCTGTGGGTTTCTGTTCCCTAGACTGCAAGAATGCAAGAAAGCAAGCTCCCAAATTCCGTGTCCGGCCACGCTTTGAGCCCATCCACTTCGTCGCCAGCAACACTCAACCGCAGACGAAAGAAGAGTCTTCAGAAAACCAAGCCCAAGACACTTTGGAGAATATCACAGCCCAGCAGATCCAAACTTACGCTGATCGGGTGTTTAGCAGCTTCGGCACCCAAGACAGGGACTCCCAGTTCTCCAGTTCCGTAGGCCTTGGCTATGGAAGTAGCCAGGTCAAACCACCCGAAGCTAAAGTGGTTCCCAAAAGTACAGAGATTTCTACTGCTGGGGGCACGACGACTTTGGTGGACTCTGCTTTTCTCCAATCCTCTTCCGAAACTTTCCCCAAATCAGTAGTAACAGCCAAGCAGTGTTTCATTAACAAGCTTGTAACGGCCGTCCGCAACAATCTCGCCAACCCCAATTGTAGCGGCGGGCCAGAAAAAATTAACTACACGTATCTTTTGACGCGGTCGATTCAGGCTTGTAAGACCAACCCAGAGTATATTTATTCTCCCCTGAAGGACATTTCGCCTGCCGATCTCCCCAAGAAGAAGAAGATTCTCAAAGAAGGTTTTGCCTGCGAGGTGAGGTGTCAGAACGTCTATCTGACCACGGGCTATGCGGGCAGCAAAAACGGTTCCAGAGACCGGGCCACCGAGCTGGCAGTCATGCTGCTGCAAAAACCCGTTGAAGTCAAAGTGGTTCAGCGGAAGTTCAAGAGCGCCACGCGGGAGGATTTGGTGGTGTGTGAAAGTGGGACCTCTTCGCTTGAATTCCCGCCAGCGCTCAAACTGCCGGATGACGTGAACCCCCCTGCAAAGGACAGTGTGTCGGGGCAGCCGAGTTCTGACCCGCAACAAGGGCCCAGCTCTGCCAAGCATTGGACTAACTTTGTCCTCACTGAAAACGCCAGTGATGCCATTGGCATTTTGAACAATTCCGCCTCCTTTAACAAAATGACTGTGGAATACAAATACGTGCTGATGCCCAACCGTCTCTGGCGTTGCAGTGTCTATTTGCAAGGTCACTTCTTGGCTGAAGGCTGCGGCACTAAGAAAACCAGCAAGCACGCCGCGGCGGACGAAGCCGTGAAAATTTTGCAGAAGACTCAATCCAACGTGAGCGCCACCAAAGCTGTCCAGGTCCAGAAAGTCAGTGGGGCTGCCCGCAACCCCGCGAGGAAGAAGAATCTGAAGGACCTGGTGGTGTACGAAAACTCCATGAATCCGGTCTGTACTCTGAACGACACCGCTCAGTTCAACAAGATGACGGTGGAATACGTCTTCGAAAGGATGACCGGCATGCGATGGAAGTGCAAAGTGATGCTGGAGAACGAATTGATCGCCGAAGCAATCGGCGTCAAGAAGAGCGTCAAACACGTAGCCGCCGAGGAGGCCGTGAAGGTCCTCAAGAAGACCCAGCCTACCGTGGTCAACAACTTGAAAAAAGGCACCATTGAAGACGTCATTTCCCGGAACGAGATTTGCGGCCGCTCGGCCGAAGAAGCCTTGAAGCAGCAGATTAAGGAAGACAACATTGGAAATCAGATTTTAAGGAAGATGGGCTGGACGGGGGGCGGTTTGGGCAAAAGCGGGGAAGGGATCCGGGAGCCCATCGCGGTGAAGGAGCAGTTCAAAAGGGAAGGGCTGGGACTGGATGTCGAAAGAGGCTCCCAGATCACCAAAAAAGATATTGAGCAGATCATCCAAAATTACGCTTTCTCGGACAGGAAGATCGATCTGACTTTTTCCACGGAACTCACCAACGATGAGCGGAAACAGATCCATCAGATAGCCCAAAAATACGGGCTTAAAAGCAAGTCCCATGGGCAGGGCAGGGATAGGTACCTGGTGGTCAGCCGAAAGAGGCGTAAAGAAGATTTGCTGGACCAGCTGAAGCAGGATGGACAAGTTGGCCATTACGAACTCATCATGCCACAGGAGAAATAGGGAGCGAGCCTTAAGTTTTTCCCAGGGGGTCTGGACAAGAACCAGGTTTCCATTAAACGGGAGGGGAAAGACATTGTATATTGTTGTGGGAAAAAACCAGCTCAAATGTTTCCCCTGCTTATTTTAATTTCTGAAACTTTACTGGAAAACAGGGCAATCTTCTGTCCAAATCCACGTTGTGCAATCCGGATGGCATCTGTGTTGTTTGCCTGTTTTAAGAAACTCTCAGATACAACATTTTTCCCCCCTTCATGTTTTAACTACTTTGGTAATAGCAGAATATCTACTCAGCAGGGGAGGAGAGGGACCCTGGCAGAGTTTGCCCCCCCCCCTTTTTTTTTTTTTAAAAAAAAAAAGAGGGAGACATGGAAAGACAGCCGTTTAAAGAGAACTATATGCAAAGGGGGTCTTAATAATAGATTTTTATGGCTGGGCATGCATGGAAGGGCATGTTTTATATTTAAAATGGGCGGGCGTAGAGGCACAAAACTATTTTCAGCATATTCAGAAATATCACAATATTTGACCGCTTGGTTGACTCAAACCAGAACGGGCGGCAGAATGAGCAAATCCTAAACATCTTTTTTTTTTTTTTAAACTACCCAACATCTAGCCTAGTCCCGATTCTCCGTTTCATTGGACAGGGTGTGATTTTTCACAACTAACAGTTTAAAACTGTAGTCTTTTTAAGTTTCATCAACCTTAGTGGGGGGAAATTGCACCTGGCCAAAATCTCCGTTTCAAGTTTCTAGCCCTCCGGATTAAAACTACTGTAAGGGGAAGCTCAGGGGCCAGAGATTGTGAATGCCACGTTGTTGGGGTATATACAGAAGTTGGACCTCCTGGCTGGGTAGCATCAGAGTTAACAAATTAGCCCAGGCTTGTTGCCTAGTTTGTGCAGTTCCCAGCAGTTCCATCATTTGTGATACGAGGCAGGAGCTTCTACATTTCAAAACAAGGCAAATATATGTTATTGTATTTTCCATCAGCTTTAGAGGACGGGGCATTTCCAGGCTTATTTTAATCGGAGTGAGCAAGATGGAGTTCCAGTTCTTTTTCTCTGAAGCCTCTACCTATTACTCCGTTTCCTTTGTGTAAATGTGCTTGAATATTTCACAGGGAGATCCGCAAGTAAAAGGTTCTCTCGCTGAAGTAGCGTGTTGTGGTTTTGTGCACAGTGTTTTTAATCCTCTTGGACAGGCTTTCTTCCAGCTACAGGGGCTGTTGAAGGATATCAAGCCTTGTTTTCCCATTTCATTCAGTTCTTCCATTGTTTCACTGTTGCGTAGAGCCTCGTTAGGCTGGAAACGATACACCCAGTGCAAGAAATGTTTTAGGGAATAAATAATTCAGCCTCGATTTACACTCTGAAGGAGAGAAACAGTTCTGAGTAAAAAAAAAAAAAAAAGGTATCTTTTTACCATGAAGGAAAGCGGCAAAATATTTTTTTAAAAAATGGATTAGGACTTTGGAATGTTTTAGGACACAATGGGGCATTCCTGCATTTCTAGGAAAAGATAATTGTATTATAAAGAGTTACAGACAGGAACTTTTAGAGCCTGTCAACTCCAAAAAAACTGCACAGGCCAATTGTGTATTTTTTTTTCACACAAAGACTTGGAACGCAAAGACCTTAACTATATTGCGCAATCTCTCTTGATCGCCAGGTGTAATTGGCTTGCTCTTCAACAGAGCTTCTCATTCATCTAGAACAGGGGTCTTCAAACTTGGCCCTTTTACGACTTGTGGACTTCAACTCCCAGAATTCCTCAGCCAGCGTGCACGCTGGCTGAGGAATTCTGGGAGTTGAAGTCCACAAGTCGTAAAAGGGCCAAGTTTGAAGACCCCTGATCTAGAACATCCAGGCCCAACTTCTGGGAACCCACCCAGTTGTGGCAAAGGTTGGGCGAAGCTAATTCATCTTACCTACACATTATTTCACCTTGGTCTTGCCACTGGTGCACATGTTAGTTCATTCCTTTGTAACTTACTAGCATCTGCAATGTTTAAAGACAGATAGCTGGAAAACACAAGGCATTGTGGAAGTAGTAAAGTCTCTCAATCTCCCTAAAATAACCCCCAAAATGAGAGATTTTTAAGGGGCGTTCCAACTTGCTCTGAAAGGCACCCAGCCTATTTCACCTGGTGCAGTAATGGACATAAGACAAATTAGCTTGTGGGGTGCTCCAGAAAGTAACCATAAATCACCCTTATGTAATTAGCTGTAAGCATTCCTGAAAGTGTACAGTATGTTATCCATAACAGAAGGCAGAGAGAAAGGAAAACATTTAGTCTAATGAGACCATCGGCATTATTAAACGGTCCCTCAATTTGCAAGATCAACTTTCAGCCGCTCGTTTCTAAGTCAAATGTAAAGCGATGCACGTTCGTCTTCTTTCAACAATAAGCATTTCGGTTACACGTTTATTTACAAGTAATTGAAAAATGTACAGTTTCTTACATGGGTTACTTGTGCAAAGTTGTACTCCAGAGTTCAGGTATACACAGAGGACACTTGGTAGAGCGGACAAAAACCCACGGATTGGTCTCCTCTCACACTGCTGCTTCAAGTACAAACTCAGCTTCACAAAAAAAAAAAATGCTTTTCGCACGGGTGAAAGAACCAGGCAGAGGGAAGGGCAAGGAAGAAGGGAACAGAGGACAGACACATGCTGCACTAGCATTTGCAATCTTTTTTTTTTTTCCTTTTCTCCCAAACAGAAAGCAAAGCCGTAACGATTTCATTTCCTTCCCCCCCACCCCCCGGTTAAGAGGTAGAAATTGAAAATCATAGAAGGAAAAAAAAAATTGTTCTCGAAGCATCTGTCCTTGCACGCTCTTTGGCCATCAACTCTCAACACCCGTTCTTGTCCTCGCCCCAGCTCTACTCAAAAGGTGAGTGAGCGTGGCTAAGCCACTTGAGCACCCTTTTGAAAGTGCTATCACAATAACACCAAACAATCCACCTTGCACTTGACCTATAAAAGCAGGGATCGGCCCTCTTCTCCCCGCCCCCCCCAGGCTCAACACGGAATTAGTGTTGCAAAACCCACGCAGCTGAAAAAGGCTTGGGAGGGAAAATGGAAAAGCAGCACACTGGGAAATCAGGGGTTGTGTTTTTGTTTTTTTTCCTTCCTTCCATAAAATACTCAACAGATGTAGTTATGTTGAAACCAGCGGTTAAATGACCAGCCTCGGACAGATCAGCACTCAAGTCATAGTTAAAAATGTATATTGTATATAAACATCCTTTTTTCTTTTTGAATCAAGCTACACGTAAGCATCACTGTGTATAACACAATTAACAATTAAAAGCTTAAGTGTACACTACCAAAAAAAAAAAAAATGCACAATACTGCCCCTAAGACTGGCGATGGTAGACACCCCCCCCCAAGGGAAGTGGAAATTTCAGCCTCAGTAATTCTTTTACAAGTAACCCAAGTACAGTACATTTGACCTCAATGGGGAAGGTGGGACAGGGTGGCTTTTTCTGATGTCCAAAGAGAAAGAGATCCAGCGAGGGTGGTTGGCCACACAGCACAGACAGCTAGTTTTGCTTTCCGAGTAAATGCAGTGATGCAAGGAGGAGGAAGAGGAGGAGGAGGAGGACTCAGACACTTCATACATATATTTTCCTCATCAGAGTGTTCATTTGCATCAGCCAAGGTCAACAGTCACGCCAGCTCTGTTCTACAATGGCGGAGACTCGCTTTTCGTATTCCCGCTTATTCTCTTGGTATAGCTGAGCTGCCTGGCTGTTTGCTGGGCTGTTTGGGTTGGGCTCATCCAGTAAAGACTGTTTTAGAAGAGCGAAAAGGAAAGGAAAGAAGAAGAAAAAAAAAGACGGTTAGGTTTGATTTATTTATTTATTTAAATTTATATACCGCCCTATCTCCCTTACGGGACTCAGGGCGGTGAACAGGCAATAATAAAAATCACAATAAATATTGAATAAAAAGCCTGCTCTAAAATACCCCATATAAAACCCCTAGCAAAGCCCAATCGAAACTACGCCAGGCCGGCTGCGTGGAATAGGTGGGTTTTCAAGGCTCGGCGGAAGAGGCGCAGGTCCGCAGTTGTACGTAGGTCGGGGGGGTAGGTCATTCCAGAGGGCAGGAGCTGCCACAGAGAAGGCTCTCCCCCTGGGGGTCGCCAGCCCGCATTGACTGGCCGACGGCACCCTAAGGAGGCCCTCTCTGTGGGAGCGGACTGGTCGAAGGGAGATATTTGGTAGGAGGCGGTCTTGCAAATACCTAGGTCCATTGCCATGGAGCACTTTAAAAGTTGTTACTAACACCTTGAAGCGCACCCGGAAGGCCACCGGCAGCCAGTGATCATCTTCCACACAAACACTATGCGCGGCCATTGTGAAATTCAAACTGAGTGCTGGAAGGTCTGTTAAGAATACCCCTGAGATGCTTTAATACCCCCCCTTTAAAAAAAAATCTTGTAGCTATGCCCTCCCTTTTAACACAACTGAATCTGAATAAAACAAAGGCAGCGCGAAGCGAAGATTTGCTATTGCAATCAGGTGCACCTAGTCCTCGACTTACGACTGCAATTGAGCCCAACATTTCTCTGGCTAAGTGAGACATTTCTTAAGTGAGTTTGATGCCTCGTTTTACGACCTTTCTTGCCACGGCTGTTAAGTGAATCACTGCAGGTTAAGAGCACGGTGGTTAAGTCAGTCTGGCTTCCTCACTGACGTCGCTTGTCAGAAGGTCCCAAGGGGGGATCGCGTGACCCCCCCCCGGGACACAGGAACCGTTGTTAAGTATGAACCAGCTGCCAAGCATCCAAATTTTGACCACGTGATTATGGGGATGCTACCAAGGTCGTTAAGTATGAAGGATGGTCGTTAAGTCACTTTTTCTTTGAATGGTCACTAAATGAACTGTTGTTTATTTATTTATTTATTATTTTGATTTATATCCCGCCCTTCTCCCGACGGGACTCAGGGCGGCTCACAACCTGTTTAAAAACAAAAACATACCCACAATCCCCACCGAATAAAACCAATTAAAAGCCAAATATTTAACGTTGTGATTTCCTGTTTAAAATTTCCTTAAAATAAACCCGATTGTTAAGTCGAGGACTACGTGTACTCTCTTATGTTCACAGCAGAAACAATAAAAAAAACCAGGCTATTAAGAATTTGTAATCTATTCAAAGCCCCCTTTTACCAGCTCATCTATTGACGTCAAATAAGATTTTACTCAAACAGCTTCTTTCCAGAGGGCCAAAACAATGCCCTGGGCGCCTTGAGCATTCTTATCAGACCTATAATCATACACCCCTGGGCCTACTGATTCAAAACCCATCCAATTTCAGTTTCCTCTGACCGAGACTTCTGACTGTTCTTTTTCGTTAAATCGGCTGGCTTCAGAGGAGCCGGTTATCTCCGTCAACTGCGTTGAATTCCAAATGGGACTGGACGGTGGTATGCCTTAACTCCTACAAAGTCTGCAAAGCTTCAAAAAGTACCAGCGAACAGCCGCCGTTACCTGTATGGATGTTAAGATGGATGATACATCGTAGGTGGGGCTCCAACGGTTTTGAAGAATATCCAGACATATACTACCATCTGCATAGACTTAAAAGGAAAATGTGTGGGTTTTTATAATTGGAAGTGTTGTAGTATAACTATCAGGTGTTCATGCCTGGCTCAACCAACCTCCATCTGAAGTCACCCCAGAAGAAGAACCTGACTCTGACCGCAGGCTCCGACTTGAGCCGTTAAATGTTATGCCGTTAGATTTTATGACCTCACAATTATTTGTGGTTATGACGGGTCAACCAAATATTAAGGGCCGCACAGCCTTTCAAAGATCTACGGAAACCTAATTAACACATAAATATAGCTGTCCAGCTACCTTTTGTAAATATTATCTCTTTATTATAGGTTCTTTTCCATTTCCAGCGGTATATCAAACACCCAGGAAATCCACAGCTGAAATAATACAATTACAAGGAGTTGATTATCTACCTGTCCCTCAACTGATGGAGGCCAAGATTTTGGGGCAATAATTTTGTAGCCCATACCAACCTAACGGGAGACGGACCACTGAGACCCAGAGAGAATGCTTGATCTTCCTAGATTTGTGTCCACAAATCTATTTTGTGAAGAAGTCAGACTTCAATGTGAGCAATGTGGGTTTTTTTAAAATGTGGGAGGATCCCTCAAACCTACGCTTGTTATATTCTGATTAAGAACATCTTATTCAACTTCCTTTTTACAAAACTGATTATCTTAGGGGCTTTCCCAACAAGTCAGTGACTGTTGACTCGATCCGTAAAGAAACAATACACTATACTGTATTATGTGCTCCTTGTTTAACCAGAATCTCTTATCTACTAATATGGTTTAGAATGATGAAACTCTAATAACACCTTCAGGTCACTAAACTGCAGGATTACAGATACCTCTAAAGGAGCCACAGTCTTTCTTCACCCCTGCAGGAATACTAGATTTTACAAGCTAGCTTGTAAAACTGTAAATATGGGCTCCATTTCTTCCACAGTCCCTGCTTCTGCTCTTTTACAAAAACTACTGGTTTTTTTTTTAAAAGAAAGATACATACCATTCGGATGAAACATCTTAGACACAAATCTGACAGTAGGTGGCTTGTTCGGATATTCTTCCGTGAATTCTATGGTAAGCTTGAAAGTTCCTGTAATTGAGAAAGGGGGGAGAGGGTGATTAATTACATCATATTCACAGGTGGGTTTAAGTTTCCCCTGCCCTTTTTTTCCTCAACATGGGTCCATAAGTCAGAGAACCCCAACGATTCCTCATATTTGTTTGGCAAGTAGAAAATCCGAGACCGGGCAGATAGAAAAACAGGCCGTGAAACTCGCAAGCATTGTATAATTGCTCCTTTTTTACACAACAAAAGAGAAACAAACTACTGCCTTTATAACTGAACTCAAGAGATTAACAGAAGGTAGCAAAGGAAGCAGGTATAAGGCCAAATGGGAAAACAAGCGTGCTCTTTAAAATACGTATATGGGTTTAAGTACAGCAAGACATAGTTAAAGGCTGTGCGGCATAGATGGCTTTCCAAGGATCTGAGAAAAAGATATATAGAGTGCCATAAAATTAAACAACACAATTATTAATATCTTCAAGTGAGTTCTAAAAAAGGCATTTAAGTGTAAGCAGCAGCAGCAGCAACAGTAGAATCATTTTTAGTAGAGTGCCAGTTTGACCTACTGGTTAAACCACCAGGCTAAAAAGCAACAGAAGGTGAGTTCTATTCCCACCTTAGCCATGAAAGCCAGCTGAGTGACTTTGGGCCAGTCACTCTCTCTCTCCAGCCTACCTCACAGGATTGTTGTGAGGAAAATTGGAAGGAGGTGCGTTGTATAGGCTCGCCACCTTGACTTACTTGTAAAAATAGTAATGATGGGATACAAATAAATAGGTGAATAAATAAAATAATCAAAGGAGGCAGGAGGCCTTCTAACCACTATCAGGCTGACAGGGAAGGATCCAAAGCAACCTCAGCAGCTAAGCCTTGGGAGGGGAAGGAAGGCCACGGATATTAAGGGCCTTAAAAAGTTCAACCCAAAGGAGGAGGGGATCTTACCAGAGATTTCAATGGAGAGTAATTTTAAAAACACAGCATCGAAAGAGAAGAGCAAAGAGACAGTTCACACTCATTGGGACAAATTGGAGACTGAAAGCAGCAGTCACGCACGGCAAAGCTTCCGAGAGCGAGCCCTAGTTTAGGAATCTCCCTGTCTAGCAAGCAGAGGAACGCTCTTTCATGCTCCTGAAAAGGTGGGATTCTAGCACTGATTTAACATGGGCGATCTCACATTAACAAGCACATTACAGTCTCTTAAGATTGTTTCAAGAAAGACTTACCATCCTCAAATGGGGTTCCCTCTGGCCTGAAAAAAGAAAAGGGTTGTCAACTTCTCGCATGTAAAATATTAGTTATAGGAGTCAGGTTTTTGTTT